AAGATTTTGCTTTTATAACACTTTTTTCACAAACACTCTCAACAGATTGCCTTGCTCTGTGTGGAGACAGACTATGTAGAAGAAACAGTTGCTAATTCCAGAGTTCCTCCCAGAATATACAAAAATGCACAAGTAATAAAATCAGTCAGCAATCAAATGCTTTCAAGAAATGGATGTAGGGAGAATTATCCTTTTCAAAAGCAAAACACGACTGTTTGGTAAGTGAGAAAGAGAGGGAAAGTGAGGGAAAATAGAGGGGAAGTGTTGACCACCAACTCATCGTGTATTGGCTGGTTAATTTTTCAAAAAAATTAAAATGAATTTAAAATTAAAAGGTAAAATAAATAGACTGTGAGTGAGAGTCTATTTATTAAGTAATTGCAATTTGTAACCATTTTTGCAAGGACGTTAGCTTGTTCATTGACGAGGACTGGGCTTCAGCTAACACTATTCTTCACAAATTGCGGCCTGCGACTTAGCCCACAGACAGATCAAGGTCATTGATGTATGTTTGACCTGTAATATTCCCGTGCAATGCAGGGTTAAAGAAAATTTTTAAAAAATTAAAAGAAAATAATATAATGTATATACATAGATTCTCGAATGAAATGTTTTATATTATGCTATTAAAATATATAAATGAATCATGATTTTTTAACGATGAGAATGAAAATTAGTAAATAAATATTAATGAAAATAGCAAAATTTATAAAGATAAAATAAATAAATAAATAAATAAAAGGAGAATTAATTAATTTGATTTATTTTATAATTAATAAAAAAATAACTCTCAACCATTAAAATCTACAAATTAAGTACTGATAAACTACATCATATTTAATACAATTTGAAGAGAAAACAAAGATGGTGAAAAATACTTTCTCGTATATTGTTGACAGTCAGTAGGCCCAGCCCAAATAGTTAGAGGGGCAAAAAATAATTTTACTCAATTATGGGAGTAAAATTAAAATTTTTTTTTTTTTTTTTTCATTTTGGGGTCCACGGCCCACTTGGCCCTCGCCTGCCTCCGCCCCTGACAGTTCACAGTATTTGTATATACAAGCTATTACAAATAAAGTGAAACTTGATAGGATGCCCTTCTTTCCTTAATGCATGATTTATGAGTGGAAGCTTGGTTGCTGAAGCTGCAGTTGGTTATCCAATATTCAGGAGGTATAGAAGTTCTCAGTGAAACTGAATTATTTTTTGATATAGATATGGTTATTGGACCTCTAGCTATACTGTCAAATTTAAAGACCCCATTGTATTATTCTTAGGATCTTTTCCACAACAATCTTCTATGAGACCTCTTCTCCATAGGATCTCATTTGGTTGACAATTGCTTTTTTTTTTTTTTTTTTTTTTGTCAAATTTAAAAGACCCAATTGGTATTAATTTCTAGGGATCTTTTCCCACAACAACTTCTAATGAGAACCTCTTCTCCAATAAGGATCTCCATTTTTTGGTTGACAATTGCCCTTTTTTTTTTTTTTTTTTTTTTATCAAAAATCTTTGTAACTGATTGTTTTTTTTTTTTTTTTTTTTTTTATCAAAAATTCTTGTACTGATTTTTAATTCTTCATTCATGGATTTCGAAACTCATGATTAAATGAGGTTATGGACAAGAAAATGATGATGTGGATTAATCTCATATGATATTATGGTGCATAAGGATTTGGCTAGGTTGTGGAAGATCGATATAGGATTTGCTGATGAGTTGAGGATTTTTCCTTTAAAAAGGTTTCCCCTTTAGGATATGAAGGCAACAAGCAAGAGAGAGGATGGAGAAGCGAGAATGAAGAGCTTAAAACAAGGAGAGAATCCAGCTTTAATCTTACCCACCCTATTCATATGGCTTTAATTTTTGGCCAAATGTATAATTTGCTTTCTGTACTTTACGTAAAAAATCTTATGATCCCTATAGTTTGAGAATAATCTATTATAAACTTGTAGTTTTCTATTTCGTATTTATTAGATAACTTGCTAAAATTATCATTGTGAGTGAGTTGTTTGATCAAAAAGGCTCATGGCAATAATTATTACGAATTAATTTTTCCATGTGATCAAAAAATATCCTCTAACTTTTTTTCCAATAAAATAACTTGTTTGACATAAAAAAAAATAAAAAAACGAAAAATATAAATTGCATAAAAAATTGACAACTCCTACATCAACGGATGATGAAGAAATCTGAAAAGGAAAAAAAAAATAAAATGAATAAAATGGGAAGATTAGAATTTCAAATTTCAATGGAGAGAAGATATTTAGATACATACACTGTGTTGTATAGTTGAAGGAGGAAAGCTTTGATCTTCAAAAATCAAAATTATAATAAATTTCATTGTTGATAATTGGCACCAGAGATAGTTTAGTTTGTACTGGAACAATGTTGTCAGCAGTGATGATACAGTGGTCACGATGAAAATCCATTTGAAGAAACATATCTATATCAGGAAACATTGTCAATCCCCAATAGTTTCAAATGAACGTTTAGAGGATTCGATAACAGCCACGAAACATTGCCCATTCATCTCGGTGGTGGTGGTATTCGACCGCAGAGGTGAAAAAAAAAACATAGAAAGAGAAAAACACAAAAAATAAAATAAAAAATAAAAAACAACACAAAACTCAAAACCCACATAAAGAAAGAGATGTTTTGATAGAAAGAAAAAGTTATTAAGTGTTAGAGAATAACAAAATATATATATATAAAAAAAAAAAAAAAACTAAAAAAAAAACTTTAATAGGGTTTCTTGTCCAAACTAACAAAGAAAAAAAAAAAAAAAAACTTTATAGGTTTCTTGTCCAAACTAAAAAGCAAAATTTCCTAGGTTTTATTTACTTTTTTTTTTTTTTTAAAAAAAGATAAAGATAAGATAGAAGAATAGAAAAATTGTCAGGTTGGACGTTTAAAGGGACTCACTCTATTTCTTAATGCATGCTTCTTCGTCTTCCTATAGGCGGTATGTAATAACTAGAAAATAGAACTCTACAAGGTCATAATGAGTTATTTGTAAACTATAGGCGGTCACAGGGTCTTTTACGTAAAGTATAAGAGGCAAATTATGCATTTGACCTTTAATTTTATTTTTTTCCTCACTCGGGCATGTCATGTCATGTGTCTGGTATATGTTTGTATGGAAAGTGACTAAAGTCCCTTTAGTGTTACATAAATAGAAGTTTGAATAATTTTGAATGACAAATTAAAATTTAGGTACTATAAAGTGATCCTCCTAAATTGAAGGACCACAATCCAAAAAAGCTCATGAATGCATTGATATCTTTTAGAAAAGAAAAAAAAAAAAAAAAATTCAAACATTATACTATTGGCTTCTGCCATTATAAACCAGTGGCTACTTTCATAGCCAAATGGGACTCTTGGCTAGCCTGCATTGGGCCTTTTTTGAAGTGAATTGGACAAGCACTTGGTTGAAGCTCTGTATAGAATCTTTATTATATGTAGAATATTTTTTATCAGCAATGAGAGTTATTATTTTATTAATATAGTCCAGGAAAAATTTAATATGTCCAAAACTCGAGAATTAATAGGCTTTCCTGTGCACCTAAACCTATTCCAAATATACTAAATGAAAGAACCTGATCAAAACATCTCAGGTAAATGCAATATACCAAAGGGAAGTGATTCTTGGCTCATAATAAATTTGGATCATGACTAGGGATGTAAATGAGCAGAGTCGAATTCAAACCTATCAGACTCGAAGCTCAACTCAATAAAATTTAACTCGGCTTGAGCTCGAACTCGACTTAAAACTCAATGAGCTTGAATATTTTAGTCTCGAGCTCAACTTTAAATTCAAGTTCAAAAGACCATAATAAAAGGGATGCAATTCCCGGGGACTGCTTAGCACCAGACTATATAGACTACTTAGGAGATGGCCTTAGAAAGAGGTCTTTCCTGTTACCTTGATATGATAGATTAATCATCACAGATATCCATTAAAAGAGGGCTTATCTTCAGTTCTATCACTAGATTGTCCTTTAGCATGGTATTTATACTCTATTAAAATAGAAGATTGAGTCTTGATCGCGAAAGTCAAGCTCCTATTTTCTATTTTATTTGTAGAAAGATTAGCTCTTCATGGCACGAGATAAGAGACTGCCTATTTGCTTTGCTCTATATGCGAGGAAACGTCTTCGGAAACAAAAAGTGAAAGGACCCCGGGCGAAGAAGCTGGTCCATCTAATCGGACCCTTCCAGTGGAAAACTATCCGTATCAACCAAATGAAATATGAAAAATTTTAAAATTCAAAGCTCTCGAGTAACCTAAAATAATATTGTTCTAAAAATTATATTAATTATACGGTAAATGACGATTTATGCATATAAAAGCAAAAACCCAGGCGTCATGTTAGTAAATTTGTCACTTTAGGGACACAATAGATGCCCGCAAAATTTATGCTGAAGGAAAGTTTCTCATGCAAAATACAAATGATGCATTTTGTGTATTTTGCACTGAAAAATTAAAAAAAAAAGAAAAAAAAGAAAAGGAGGATGTTAAAAATGTGCGTGCAGTAGTAAAAAAACAAAAATCGAAATGACATATTCATGAAAAGATAGGAGTGGCACCTATTGAGAAAGAAAGGTTAAGAACAATCTAAACTCCGTTTTTTTTTTCCCGGAAAATAATTTTCAAGAAAGAATTGCACTGATTAAGAAAGATCTGGATGTCCTTTTTTTTTCCCTCTCAAGAGTTCAGGCAAAACCAAATGGAATGAAAGAAACCAATTCATGTAAGGAAGTCGACTTCAATTAAGAGCATTCAAGTTTAAGGAGTGCTCTAAAAAAAGGAAAATTATAGAGCACTCAAATTTTAATTAAATTAATTAATTAATTAAAAGTTGAACTCGAATCTTACAAAAAAACTGAACTACAATGAAGTTTTATCTGTTTAGCAGAATGCTAAAATGAGCTAACTTGATATTTAGACTAATATGAGCCAGATTTACTAGGCATTCATTTACTACATCCATAAGGTAAGTTATCTCCGAAAAAATGGCTGCGCATTGAAATTTTCACTCACATAAACCAGTAAAATTCCTCCAGTTCAAACCAAATAATGTCAACAACAGTTAAAAAAAAAGGTTTACAAGAAATATAGTAAAAATCAGATACATTTATAGCACAAAATTGTTTCATGACACAAAATACCTTGTATCAATCCACACGCTCTATGTATGTCTCAGACAAGGTATTTCCATTTGTGATATTTGTCGTTCCTATTATCAAATCATATGCCATTCCTTCCTGAAAAACGGATAACAAAGGACAAAAAAGAAAAAAAAAAAAAAGGAAAGTAATATAGGGAAATAATAAGGCATAATCGCATAGAGTCATAGACATCAACACAAGAAGTGCTTATGACCCTGTTACAGCACTTGAAAACAAGTATTAAATGAATATTTTGCGTTGCATATATATGAAAAACAAAAATGGACAAGAATTTCATTCCATTGTCACTATGCATCTAAAATACATTGAAGAATTGTTCAGTTCTTCCAACAATCCTCTGAACTGAATGAAAATCGCCTTCTAGAAATCTAGCATGCAATGGAATATACCATTTATGCATACACTAGTTATATTGGACAAATTCTCAGTATTGGCTCCTTTCCTTCTATTCTATCAGTCAAGCCAACCTCAAGTATGTTCGTTCAATTCAAGCAAAGGCCAAGTCCCAAAGTTCAACGACATGAACTTCTTGTTCAATAAATTTCTTTGGAATCCAAATTTAATATTAAGAACTGACCTTTTGACAATTGTTTGAAAAAGAAAAGTAAGAGACAATTTTAGTCGAAGGGTTAGTTTCATTTATGGTATTAGCACTAAATTGAGTAAGAGTAATTCTTTGTACCACCAAAATTGATTGATTATAATTTTGTTTCAATAAAATAACTTCCTATAAATATTTAAGAGATCTAGCCAACTTTCTTGTGCTAGGTACAATTGAACTTGTTTGTAGCCAGTAGAGCTTATATTAGATGATTTCAATTTTGATATTATCTGAAAAATATGGTTGAATAATAAACTGTTATTTCATTCAAGAAAATTGAAGTTGAATGGCCGTGCAAACTGATGATAAACTTGATGATGACGGATGACATGAAGCCTCAATTGAGAGAAAAACGAAATAGAAATTAAGAGAAGGCGAGGGCAACATAATTCTGACAAAAACAAAGCAAATAAAGGAAGGTAGAGATAAAGTAAAACTGAAAAACAAAAATGAAATGATCAATTGGAACGGTTCTTTTGGATTCCAATACAAAAATTTTATTGATGTGTCCTACAAATAAGAGATTTAAGAAATTCAAGATATGGTACAGATTTTACATGGGTTTTATTCAGGACATTACAGTATATTTTTCCAGTTTTTGTCTTACTAATGTGTATGCTTTAGATAAATTAGCAGCTTGTCTATTGCTTTAAGTCGAAGGGGACAATTTTGTCATTGTCAACTTCATTGGAAACTGTCCCTATTTCTTTAAGAGTCCTTTTATTCATTTTAAGTCTTAGTTTAAAGTCATTCTGAGAATAGGTTACTATTTTCCTTTTAGTTTACCAAGGAGTCCAAAATTTTAGAAGATGAGTGCTAGGTTTGAAGTCCTTTTCTCAAAGATTTAGGATTTACTTTGAGTCTATAAATAACTACGCTTCTAATGTTTATATTTTGTTTTGTTATTGAATAAAAAAACCAGCTTTTTATGCTACTTCAACTTCAGTTTGTATAATATAATTCAACCTTAAGTACAATGCCAAGGAGATTTAGGTGTGAAGCCTAAGTTTTTCAACTGCTCATATTATTTCTCACTCATATTAATGGGTAATGTTCAGACACATTTCATAGTAGACCCAGTTCCAGTTCTGGTCCCAGTTCTAGGTGTTTTTCCAAGCTTTTGAACAGGTTTCTGGATCAGGACCTAACCTTGGCTGGGTCTTTGTTCACAGTAATATTAACAATTCATGATCCCTCTTTCTTTATTTAATCTCTGATTTTTAACATGAATAAAAACCCTAATTGTTTACCTAAAAACCTGCCCTTTCTAGCTTTCTGTTAACCCAAAAGTCAGCCTTAAGAACAAGTCCCCCAAGCCGTCCTACACCAATATGTTTATGGGTATTCCCATATCAGTTTGACCAAGCAGACAATAAACTATAATAACCAGTCATGTGAAGTGCATATTGCAAGGATCCTTTGATATAAATGTTTTCCACAATAGGTGAAAATAAAATGAAAATGAAAGGGCCTCCACAAGTGTGCAGGAATATAGACCCATACAATTTAACATAAGACAGCCCGTGGAAATGATGCATGGTCACCCACCAGCGCACCCAAGAAAAGAAGTTTCAATGTTCCAAGCCCCAGATTGTTGTTAGGAAAATGTAGGTATATCAACTTTATTGTTTATTAATTTGGCAAGCTGGTTCAACTTTATTGTTCAAGTTACTTCTGGAAGTTTCCAACTGAAGTAAGGGATGATGATTTATATGAAAACAGCATATGATCATACGCAATACAATATATTATAGATCCATACATGTTCAACTATTTAACATACCTGAGCACTAAGATATCGGAGAGCAGAAATTTCTGCAAATGTAACCCCTCCAATGAATACAACGAGTATTAAGGAGCGCCTTCCATCAACTAATCTGTATCAGTATTAAAGTAAAGGAAAAAATTAAGATCTAAATGATATAAACATTTGGAAGGAAGTCATCAAGATGCATATGGTGGTTTCATGACTATAACCCTTGGGCTTTATCTGAGAGTAGGAATAGGACAGGAAACGATAAGGAGTAGGATAAGAATTGTCCTTTATTTGGGAGTATAAGCAGTTTGGAAAATAAAGGATGACAAAGGATTACCTATCCCTTTAAACCTCATTTTGTCTTCCTGCCCAAATTGAGGGAATAAGAGATATCCCTTTGCCCAAATTAATTATAATTTTAATCAGAGCACTTTACCTTCATGAATAACTTTAAAAACTAACTATTGGATTATCAAAGGATAAATCATAAATGAATACCTTCCTTTCCTCTCTTTTAAACCAATTAAGCTAACCAAATACTTTTCCTATCTCATGGATCAAATATTATCTTCTTTTTCTTTCTCATCATAAAACTCCTTTAACATTGTTTGGAGCGCAATGGAGGTTAACTGTTAACCTCCATTGCGCTTGTTTGATTAGATCCCCCCCCCCCCCCCCCCCCTTTTTTTGTGGGGGAGGTTGAATTTTGTTAAACCCACTCCCCCGTAGGTTAAAAGGGAAAAGAATGGAGAGCAAAAAAATATATATACATACAATTTTTTACCCCCCCCCCCCCCCTTTTTTTGTGGGGGAGGTTGAATTTTGTTAACCCACTCCCCCGTAGGTTAAAGGGGAAAAGAATGGAGAGCAAAAAAATATATATACATACATTTTTTACTTTATTAATATCTTATCAATATTAGAATTAATATAATAAATATTATTTATCATAATATAATATTAAATAATAATATATTTACATTAATATAATATTAAATAATACAATATTTCTAATATTAAAATAATACAAATATTTCCAATATTAAAATTATTTCAACTGTATTCTAGTAAATAATATTATTTATTAAAATATAATATTATTTTTGGTAATAATGATATAAAAATGTTTCATTTATATGCATTTAAAAGTATTAAATTTAGTAATATTCTATCAAAATAATTTTATTTATGAAATATAAAATAATACTTCTAATCTTAAAATAATACAACAAAATATTTCTACCATATTCTAATAAATAATACTATTATTTATTAAATATAATATTATTTTCAGTAAAATAATATAAAAGTATTTCCTTTATATGCATCAAACGGTATTAAAAATTAATAATATTATTTATGAAAATCTAGAATAATATTACTATAATTTAGAGTACATGGTAATGATAAAATACTAAAATAATAATTATATGAAATAATATTATTTTTAGGAAAATGCTTTCACTAGTATAATATAATATAATATTACAATAATAATGAAATAAAAATTATTTTTATTTGTGAGTATTTCTCAATATTGAAATTATATTACATTTTTTGATATTATATCTTTTACATTTATTGATTATATCTTTTACATATTTTTCTATTATATTTTTGTTTATTATAACATCAATCTTCTGTTTTTAACCTTTAATCCCCATTCTGTTAACCTCATAGCAGAGGAACCCTTTTAGTTGTCCTTATCAGTCACAGAAGATTAATATTTGTGTTTGTAGGGGGACTTCGATAATGTAACCTCCTCACAATAATGGCAACATCCACAAAATAGAGAATGATATGGTAAGCATAACACCAGAAAACGAGAGTTTAGTCATACCGGTTTGTAGCTTCTGAAGCTCGGTGCAATGTGTCGAAGGATGGACTACTTGAGAATCCACCCTGCAAAAGTAGCACAAGCTATTGATACAACCAGATATCAAGAGAGAATTCTATGATATTTTTATTTTACATACTAGACTAAAATGTTTTTGAAAAAATAAAATAAAAGTGCCGTTGAACAATGGAGTCTGAAATGACAAACTCCAGGAAAAGATTAGCAGGCAATAATTAAAATATAAGGATGAAATTTCTGATTTTAAAGTTTTTAAGTAAAAAATTGTCATCTGTCCCATTAAATCAAAACTGGGACTCGGGAGGATTGACGTGAACCTTAAATATATGGGTGTATTTTGATATTCCAAACAAAAGAATTATGGATCTGTAGTTTTTCTTTTTCAGCTCCATGTCAGAGAGAGAGAAGAGGAGGGAATTTCACAGACCCTCTTAGTTTCCGAGTGTGGTCCAGGCAAAAGCTTCAAAATTTCTTCCATGGGACGCCTGTGGGTCATTCATCATATTTGAGAAAGAAACAAACATCTATCAAGTCCAAAAAAAATATATTGCAAACATGAAAATAACTATCATAATAAAAACCAAAAAAAAAAAAAAAATTGCGTCCCAACCCAAGCATCAGCTATCCTTGAGTGTCAAACAAGATGAAAAAGTGAAAAGATTTATTTAGTTATACCACAATTAGATTACGAATTGTGATCCTAATGCATATAGATACAAATGGTCTAATGGGAGCAAGAATTATGAAAAATCAATTAATTAATTTGCATTCATATATTGATAAGTTTCTAAGGATGATTTAAAAGGCTGACACACTAAATTGCACAAATAACCACACCCAAACTTCCATTTGTTCTTTGATAATTACTTTGGTTCTAAACAGGACATAAATCCCTGTTGAAAACAGAGACTACCTTGGACTGAGGCTCAGAGAGTTGAGTTGTGCTGAGAACTTGTTGAGTTTATTAGCAGATATATCCAAAAGCAAATAGTTCATCAATAATTGTTTACATTCTCAACTCATTAAATGACCAGGAAACGTTACATCAACAAGCATGACTGTGGAAGGAAGTTACAAGGCCTAACTGCCACAACTGAAAATTCAGAAACATATATGACTAGCGTGAAATAGAAACATAGAGAGATCCTTGGCTAACAAAGTTAAAAAAATTGGCAAAGCTGACCAGAATTACAAGAGATATCATCAGGGTCATAGTTTCATTGGTATGGTACCTGAATCAGTATCACAACTGAGAATGGGAAAAAGTGCAACCCTGACAAACTTTGAAAATGAAAAACTCTCTTTTCTTATGAACCATCTCAAATTTAGAAAATTAGATGTTTTTTATAAGAAAAGAAACTTCATTCAGAAAGAAAGCAAGAAAGAAAGAGTATGCCATGGAGTACAACGAATCGTCCAATTTCAAAAGACCACTACAAACTAGAACACAGGACAAAAAAAGGCTAAAAAAGAAATGCCCTCTGTTCAAGTTGGAAAGCATTTCCAAGGTACCCTCTAAAGGTTGCAGAAGCATAAGCCGACATAGAATTAAATAAGCCAATTGTACACAGGACATTATGTCCAAAAACCAAGTGGAGTTCATCTGTCCACTTCAAATAAATATCCAACTTGCTCTTGTATAAACTTAATACTTGGTTATAAAGTATAGAAAAAAGAGAGAGTAGACAAGCAATCCAAGGAAAAAGTAGTGCAAGAGCTAAAATAGATCTAAAGAATACAGAATTGACCTCACCATCCAGATCGAACAGCATGCTGAATAAGACGAATACTTAGTGGTGCATATCCAGAAAAGACATATGAAATGTCATTTGGGCTGTTCCATACAAAATAAATTCAAAAGTTAGGAGGAAAACCAACAGAACTTTAACAAGACTCCATGTTTAACTGTACAAGTGCACTAGTGAGTAAATGTATTCTTTCCCTAGTTAAGATATCGAACAGACAAAAAGACTCCATTTGCAAAATATTGAATGACATCCAGACTGCTAAAAGAATTGTTTCAATGACACTTGAGAGGGAAAAAGATGTTATCTATTCTGGCAGGCAAAAAAGAATTCGGACATTTATGAATTCTGAAATGGCTTAAAATGGTATGAGAGACGCATGTTATGTAAATTGCAATCAATAAACATGAAAAACTTTTTAAAAGAAGTTGAAAGGAAAACTCGTAAGGAATACATTAAAGAAGAAAAATCAAGATGAACTAAATCTTGTTTCTTTCTGATCAAGAAATATATATAAATATACATACATACATATTGATATATGCACACACACACACACTATATATATATATATATATAGAAAAAACAAAGATGAAAACTAATTTCTTGTTCTTTTCTGATCAAGAAAAATAAATATATAAATATACCATACATACAATATTGATATATGCACTACACACACACACTATATATATATATATTATATATATATATGCTATGTATTGTATGCATGTATGTTTGTGTGTATGTATATAATGTTATTGTATATTTTACCATTTGATGCTAAGTGCAATTTTTCCTTTGAAAAATCATGATACATTCTAATTCACTTTGAAACATAAAAAAAAAAAAAAAAAAAAAAAAAAAAAAAAAAAAAAAAAAAATCTGGAAACAATAAACATATATATTCAATTTCCAACCTAGATATTTCTTGTTTTCTGGTAAATAATTAATAAATATAAGAAAAGCAAGCCCCTGAAAGCATGATTAAGATCATCCTAAACTGAATGCTTTCAAAATGAAATGAAAAAAAAGGCATGAAAGCATATTCCCCTTAAACATACACACACCACCACACACAACACACAGATTGTGCACAACCCCATTTGATGCTAGTCAATTTTTTTTGTTTGAAAGTCATGATACATTCTAATTCACTTATGAAACAAAAAAAAAAAAAAAAAAAAAAAAAAAAAAAAAAAATAAATTAATAAAATAATAATAATAAAATAATAATAATAATAATAACTTATACTAATGTTTCACTATTTCCAACCTAGAATAGTTCAATGTTTCTGGGGGCAAAAATTAAAATAAAAAAAGAAAAGAAGAAGCATGATTAAGATCATCTAAACTGAATGCTTTCAAAAATGGAATGAAAAATTAATAAATAAAAAAAAAGAACAATGAAGCAACTTTTAAATAGATTTTGCAAATAATTTGCAAGAAATTTCCAACTTCAGAAAACTGATAAATCATAAACGTTCTGCAGTTCCAGTGTATGATTCTCACATAATGTCCCTGCGCGCGAGTTGGAAGTGAACGAGAAGTGAGGCCCCACTAGCTCAACGCAAGCCACGTATGAGTAGCAAACGCGCAAAAACAGGAAGACCGCAGCGAACATTCTAAAATGTAAATGCTTAGTCAATCTCAGAACAGATTAGATGAATTAAAGTTTATAGTACTTGGCAGTGTCAGTATCTTCGATCAACAAAGTTGCAGTGGGCACGAGCTTGACTGTCAAAACCAGTTGCTTTTTGAGTCCTGCGAAGGTTCATAATAATAATAATAAACTTATATATTCTATTTCCAACCTAGATAGTTCATGTTTCTGGCAAAAATTAATAAAAAAGAAAAGAAGAAGCATGATTAAGATCATCCTAACTGAATGCTTTCAAAATGGAATGAAAAATTAATAAATAAAAAAAAGACATGAAAGCAAACTTTTAAATAGATTTTTGCATAATTTGCAGAAATTTCCAACTTCAGAAACTGAAAAATCATAAACGTTCTTGCAGTCCAGTGTATGATTCTCACATAATGTCCTCAGTTGGAAGTGAAAGAATGAGGCCCACTAGCTCAAACGCAAGCCACGTATATAGCAAACCGAAAAAGGAAGACTCAGGAACATTCTAAATGTAATCTTATTATCAGAAACAGATTAGATGATTAAAGTATAGTACTTGGCAGTGTCAGTATCTTCGATCACAAGTTGCAGTGCACGCTTGACTGTCAACCAGTTGCTTTTTGAGTCCTGCAAGGTTCAGGTGATGTACAATGGGATCAGAATAGATGGTTCTTGACCTCTTGTCCAGTCACATAAAGGAATATTCATTTTAGACTAGCTATCAACTCAAGAAGTAGTCAGTCTCTCCCTTTTACTAGAATTTACAACAAAAACAAGAATGAGGCCCTAGTATCAGTAATCCCATTTCCATGAGTCTCCTTATTCTCCTTCCAACCTTAACTTGTCAGTATTCATTTAGACTTTAATTATGTAAGAAAAAAAATAAAGCTTAAACTTAATGCTGAACCTGCTTTTTAACCAATCCAGCTTTTTCTAAATTATTCAAAGTCACCATGTGCTCAAATCCATAGCTGTGGAGTATCTCCTTCCTAAACAGGAGTAAAGAAATATCAAATATATTGATGCAGCATAACTAGAATAGCACATGATCACATGGGGAAAAAAAATATTATACAAGTCTAGTATCCAACTAATAGAGTGTGAATCAAGATAATCTTGCCTCAAATAGTCAAAATGCTTTTTGGGTAAGCCTGAGTTTGTAACAGAAAGCAAGATAAGAAGCCTTAGAACACTGACAAGAGGTTCCTGCTTATGGATCAATTCTTCAATGTGCTCAAAGCAACTGCATGCAAAAGCTTCTTTGGTCAATAAAATCCAAATGCTTGAGAATGATAATTATAAGTCAAAAAGGCATGATGAAACAGAATGCTTACTCAGTAGCTTTAACAGCAAGTTAACAACAAAACAAACATGAAAAATGAAAATCTCAAAATAAAAAGTACCAAAATCACTTCCAGTCAGGGTTTTGAATAATGGAAACAGAAACCGTAACAAAAATAGAAAAAACGATTCAGAATGAAACTGAATCAATCTGAACCTGCAGCCACTACCAGGACTTCATCAAGACCATAAATAAGATCCTTTATTAATAAACTTACAAGATACTAACTGAACAAAAACCCAAATAAATATCATATAAAATAATATAGCAATTTCTCAATCATTAATTATTCGATTCTTTTTTCTTTTATAAGCATTACCTATTTGAAACCAAAAAAAAAAAAAACACAATAATGCATTGTTCTGTTTTGGGCTTTTACCCTATGAAAATGTTATAACTTTAAAATCTTTTCAGTTTTTATTGTCAAGGAGTTCCACTGCTGCTACAGATGAGGTATCTGAGCATCCCATATACAGAATAGACGAAAAAAATAAATAATAACAAAAATTGAAATAAAACCGACAAAATTTACAATTCTTTTTTTTACGTGTAATGTTAATTAATCGAAGGACAGCTTCCTTACATTAAGGACAAACAAGAAAAAACTGCTTCCCATGGGAACAAAAACCCTGTAGTTCACCACACTTCCGTTTGCATCTCTTTCCAAATAAAAAATCTGTATTGCCCATTTTGGAAGTTCTTATGTTGTTCCCCAAGTGAATGCCAAACCACCCTTGTCATATCCACAAGACACGCATCGACCTCCTCAATTTCCATTCTGCTGTTACTCAGCTGATATTTAAAACCATACTTCCAATTTCATGGAAACCATAATAATACATTTTCCCACAAATTAAAATAGGTCTAGTTAGTATTATGCAAGTAGAAATTAAAATAATACTAATTGTTACCATCAGTTTGACAATGGTACGCACATAATTACTCCCAACAATCTTTTAGGCAAGTTAATCATTGTTCCTCGTTCTTGAGAACATCAGCAAATGCCTAATCAGGTGCAGGTGCTTATAACAGCAAGAGTTTGCTTGAGAAAAGTGAACAACATATAGTTGATACAACTGCTTACGCATATAAATTGCAACATTTCCCTCAAAAAGTATTATGTTTCCCAAAATACAAGACATGGAACTAGCAATTCAAGGTATCATCAAAGCAAAAAATTATTGTAAAGAGATTTACAATCATTATAATTTCATTTTGCAGGAGGAACAAGAGGACATATTTGACTTTAAGTGGGAAGTACTTTTTTATCATGACGGACTCTAGGACACGCTTGAAACTCCTTTTCTTTCTATATTTTCTTTTTCCGTTTTACACGAGTGAAAGATTTCACAAAAGGGAACCAAGGAACATGCCAATTTCAGAAGGGATGAGATAAAACAAGCAAACAATCATTTACAGGACAAAAAATCAAGCATCCCGCAAAACCTAAATCTTAATCTCATCTAAGAAAGAGTCATCTGCAAAGAGGGAAAGACAATTATTTTTCCTCAGGAGCTCTTTGATTCCTTTCCCACTGCATAATCCAACAACTTTGTTTCTAAATCCATACGCTATCGCATAATGTTTCAAATCCACTGCTTATATCAACTCAATGGCAACCTAAGAAATGCCCATTGACTCATGATCTGGCACAATTGGACTAGTAAAAGAACAGATTAGCCTGTAGAAGAGAAAAATTAAGTTAACATTTGTTGAACAACCCCCGCACCACAAAAATCTCAGTAAGAGTGCAAGAGTTCCTGATTGCTTTCATTTTCGTTAACCTTACCCTCTCCTGCATCTTTCACTTCTCTGGATAACCACCCAGTCACCCACTGTGTTTCATACTATCTTTTTATCCTCTACATACTATCTTTCTATCCTCCAAAGATGTTACCATTTGAACATATAACTGCAAAGCCATTCAGCAAGAAAACCCAGTTCAAAATGGTCAATGACTTTAATCCCAAACCCTGCTGTTTTTCATTTCTTTTTTACCCACACCTATCCTTATCTCTCAAAATAATTTGCCATTAAGGAAGTAAAGGGGAAGAAGAAAATGAAGCAAAAAGAGATACTAGAAGTAGAGCATGCAGCTAACCATGAGAAATCTCCTAGCCTTGAGAAGATAATGTTTTCTATGTACCCACAAAATTTCTCCTAACATTTCTCCCAGCTAAATTCCAATGCTTATGTATCAATTTGGTTCCAGAAAAAAATTATAAAGCATGTCGAAGGAAATATTTAATCCTGAAACACTTGCTGAAAGAGATACTATCTAGCCCTTCACATAAGTTCAGTTCCAATCTGGATGACACTTCAAAATAGAGTAAGAACAGTAATTGTACCAACCTTTATGGCCACTTTCTATCCTATTCAGCAGAAAAAAGAAAAAGGAAAAAATTAGTCGACGCAACTGTTGCAAAAACCGGATTTTAGTAGTACGCGGCATCCCCTCTTAGTTTTGAGTAGGAGGAACTATTCTGTTTTGGCTCTTCTCCACATTCTTACCGGGTGATCCAGGAATTTGCCTATTATTTTTTCAACTGATATTTCGATATAGAAAGATATAAAAATTATCTTTCATAGTTGATAGCTCGAGTCAAAAACAATTTTGACATGAATGGGGATATCCACAGACTTCTGACTTATGAGAGCAAAAAATATGGCAAAACCTTTACCAAGAATCGATTCACAAGGATTGGACATATTGGCTCATGTAATCAAGAAAGCCACATGTTGTGGATGCATTTGTGGGCTGAACCTATTCTAGGCAAGGGCATTGATCTCAGTTATCATTTTGGTTTAGGTCTTTAAATAGGAGTATTTAATTTAATATTTACCATGTTGGTTATTGTTTTTTTTAGCAGAGGTTTGCAGTATTAAGGAGTCTAAATTATAGGTTTCCTAATCTTGTAATAAGACTAGTCCTATTTAAAAGGACAATTAAATAATAAAAAGACCTAAGTCGTATTTTATTAAATTCCTGAGATTGGAGCTCTCTCTCTCTCTCTAACGAGGTCCAAGGTTTTCAAGTTCCCTTTGAAGAGCTTGAATCGGTTAGCAAAATAGGTTGCAAGAAGAATCAAAATAAGGGAAAGGCCATTGACATGGACTTTCCAGTAAACCGCCCTGTGACTCAGTCCTACGCTCGAGTTCTTAACAATTTGGTATCAAAGCCAATCACAATGCGCGACGATATCAGGTCAGTGTTACAAGAAGAACGTGCCGTTACAGAGTCTATGATAGAAGCCAAGGTTTCTGAAATTGAAAAGCGCTTGGACAACCAATTCAAACAATTCAGTTCCAAATTTCAGGAGCTACAACAGATAATGGCTGGGCTGCATAAGTTGACAGCTGGGGAAGGCAAAACCGGCGGTGGCAGCACCTTGATTCTTGGCAGGACGTCAAATTCATAGATCAATGGACGGGGCATGCTACCACCCCCACAAGGGGGAGTAATTCCAGCAGCCAACGCAGTTGTTCCTAGGTACACCAAGCTGGAGTTCCCAACTTTTGATGGCTTTGAGGATCCTTTGATTTGGTTACATCGATGTGAACAATTTTTCTGAGAACCAACATACGAACGAAGTAGACAAGGTTGGACTGGCAACCTTCCACATGCTGGGGGAGGCACAACTATGGTATTATCATTTGAAAGTGGAAAGGCGCAATATGAACTGGTCCGAATTCCGAAACTCTTGCTCCATTCGATTCAGTCCTCCAGAGGGCAAAAATCCTTTGGGAGACTTGGTTAGCTTACGACAGATGGAAACTGTAGAAATCTATCAGAGACAATTTCAAGAAAGGCTAGCCCGAGCTAGTCCATATGTCAGAGTAGGTCAACACGTGGGATAGTTCATGGCCAGGTTGGATGATTCAATTAGATTGGATGTCCAAATGCATAAACCTCCTGATTTGGCAATGGCTATGAGCCTCGCTAGGGCTTTTGAGAAAAACAACTACTGCTACGCAAAGGCAGCAATCACAAAGGACCATGGGCAAGTAATCGGACAAGGCTTAATTCCTTTACTGGTCATCTAACCTCCACCCAAAAAGGGGCCATGTCTCCGACAACAGCAAGTATTATCGCTGCCTTAACACCAGCCCCATTTATAAGGAAACTAAGTCACGCTGAAATGGCTGAAAGACAGGCAAAGGGACTTTGTTATAATTGCGATGAACCATATACAATTGCGATGAACCATATACAGCAACTCACCAATGCGAGAAATTATTTGGGTAGAGCTGGAAGATAGTGTTGAAGAAGATCAAGAAGAGGAGACAGAAATTTCTTTACATGCTATTACGGGCCAAAAACATGCGCGAACTATGCAGTTACAGGTGTCCATCAAAGGGCAGCCTTTGTTGTGCTTGGTGGACTCTGGAAGTACACATAATTTCATCAGTGCAACAGCCGCACATTGCCTAGGACTTCGGATTCATCATTTACCAAATACTAGCGTTTCCGTTGCCAATGGTGAAAAGGTCTAGAGTAAGGGGGTCTGTTCCTGGGTACAACTTTCTATTGCTTCTCATGATTTCTTTGCTGTTTTTTATGTTATTCCCTTAGGAAGTTTTGATATTGTATTGGGTATTCAATGGCTACAAATGTTGGGGCCGATTGTATGGGATTTTACTGCACTTACAATGCAATTTTCGGTGGGAGGAGGCACATTCTGTTCCAGGATCAGCAACGACATTTCAATTCTCACTTGCACTTTATTGGTGATTCCACTAACCACAAGGAGGAATTAGAGAACCTTTTGATAGAATTTGATGATTTATTCCAAGAACCTGCAGGTTTACCACCTCTACGACACTATGACCACCACATTTGTCTTCAACGCCAATTATTGTTCGACCCTACAGGTACCCTCATTTACAGAAAAATGAGATTGAAAAGCAATGTGATCAGATGCTCCAACAGGGTATCATTCGGGCTAGCAAATCACCTTTTTCTTCACCGGTTCTGTTAGTTCCCAAACAAGATGGAACTTGGTGATTTTGTGTGGATTATCGTCAATTAAATGTCGCACGACAGTGAAGGATAAATTTCCTCTTCCGGTGGTAGATGAGTTACATGGCGCCAAGTACTTCACAAAGCTTGATTTGAGCTCAGGTTACTATCAAGGGCGAATGTCTCACGAGGATATTGAGAAGACGGCTTTCCGCACTCATCATGGGCATTTTGAATTCCTTGTTATGCCATTCGGATTGACCAATGCCCCATCGACGTTTCAGGATCTTATGAATGAGGTGCTCTATGATCACTTGCGTCACTTTGTGCTAGTACTTTTTTATGATATTTTGATTTACAGTCATACTTGGGTGGATCACTTGAAACACATGAGAATAGCGTTCAAATTATTGCGTGCTCATAGACTTTATTTAAAGTGCTCTAAGTGCTCCTTTGGGTCAAACCAAGTAGCATATTTGGGACGTGTGATTTCTGCTGCAAGTGTGGAGGCTGATAGAAATAAAGTCCAGGCTATTCTTAATTGGCCGAAACCGCAATCCATCACATCTCTAAGAGGGTTTTTGGGATTGGCCGGTTACTACAAGAAGTTCATCCGTGATTATGGCCAATTGGCTGCCCATTAACAAGTATGCTCCAAAAGAATTCTTCTGAATGGAATAAGGCGGCTCTAACTTCCCTCACTAAACTTAAGCAAGCATTATCAGAACCATCAGTTTTACAATTGCCAATTTTGATCTTGAATTTATAGTGCAATGTGATGCTTCAGGTGGAGGAATTGGAGCGGTTTTACAACAAGCAGGTCACCCAATTGCTTTTTTCAGCCGTCAATTGGCTGCTAGACACCTTAAATTAGCAGCTTATGAAAGAGAATAATTGGGCTTGCCAAAGCCATGCAACATTGGCGACCATACTTATGGGGACGTCCTTTTCTTATTCGCACTGACCATTACAGTTTGAAGTACTTGCTGGAACAGCGACTTAATACTCCTCCACAACAACATTGGCTTAGTAAACTCATGGGGTTTGATTTCCGTGTGGAGTATCGTGCAGGTCAGCTTAATAAAGCAGCAGATGCCTTATCCCGCCGTTTAGAGGAAGAGATATCAGTATTTGCTATTAGTCAACCTCGGCCTATGTTGCAATAAGGGAGGAGATCCTTGGGTCCGATACATTAAAAGAGATGTATGCTAAAGCTGAACAGGCTGCATTAGGAGACTCTTAGGCAACCAAGGATGGGTTATTATTATATAAGGATCGACTCTACCTCTTGCCATCCTCTACTTTGCTCTCCTCCATCTTATCTATTTACCACGATAGTGCACAGGAGGGAATTCAGAAGACGCTTCATCGACTCCGTAGCGATTTCTATTGGAAGGGAATGAAATCCGACACTGCTGCCTATGTTTCAGCTTGTCAAGTATGTCAGCGCAATAAAGTCGAAAATCTAAATCCTGCCGGGTTGCTTCAACCACTCCAGCTTCCTACACAAATTTGGGCCAACATCTCCATGGATTTTATTGATGGACTGCCCAAGTCTTGGGGCAAAACGGTCTTGTTAGTGGTGGTAGATCGTTTCTCCAAATATTCACACTTCCTCTGGCACATCCCTATGCCGCCGTTCGAGTTGCTCAGGTATTTTTTTGAGCAGATTGTGCGTTTACATGGCTTACCAGAAACTATTACTTGTGATAGAGATGTAGTCTTCACTAGTGCTTTTTGGAGGGAACTCTTCCAATTCAGTGGCACCAAGATGCACTTTCAACAACTTATCACCCGCAAATGGATGGTCAAATTGAGGTCGTTCAACCGCACAATTGTGATGTACCTTCGGTGCTTAGTTGGGAATTTTCCCAGTAAGTGGGTTGCATGGATAACATGGGCTGAATACTGTTATTACGCTTCCTTTCATACATCACTTCAAACAACCCCTTTTCAAGGTTGTGTATGGGCGCGGACCCCCTCGTTTGCTTTCATATGTGGCTGGTTCTTCGCGTGTGGATGCAAATGACACTGCTTTAGAGAACTGCTATCAGATTGTGCATGACATTCGTCACAAGTTGCTGCTGGCACAAAGTAGGACAAAAGAATTTTATGACAAGGGCCATCGTGATGTGGAATATGCTCTGGGCAGCTTTGTGTGGCTTCATTTACATCCCCATCGCCAGCATTCCCTCTCTCCTTCCAAGCGCCACAAGCTGTGCCCCAAATTCTATGGTCCTTTTCAAATTCTTCGCAGAATTGGATCTACGGCATATGAGCTACAACTTCCCTTGGATAGCAAGCTCCATAATGTTTTCCACGTTTCCTTATTGAAGGCATTCAAGGGTGCTTCACCCCCTAATCCTTCCACTCTTGCTCCTATTGATGAAGGCCGTGTGGTTTATATTCCAGCATCTGTCCTACAGGGTCGAAAAGAAATTTTAGTGCAGTGGAGTGGTATGGCTGCTTCCGATGCAACTTGGGAAGATTTAGCTCATTTTCAGCAAGCTTATCTAGATTTTGAGCTTGCGGACAAGCTCTTTGTCCAGGATGGGAGTAATGTTGTGGATGCATTTGTGGGCGCATTTGTGGGCCGAACCTATTCTAGGCGAGGGCATTGATCTCAATTTTCATTTTGGTTTAGGTCTTTAATTAGGAGTATTTAATTTAATATTTACCATGTTGGTTATTTCTTTTTTAGCAGAGCTTTGCAGTATTAAGGAGTCTAAACTATAGGTTTCCTAATCTTGTAATAAGACTAGTCCTATTTAAAGGGACAATTAAATGATAAAAAGACCTAAGTCATATTTTATTAAATTCCTGAGATTGGAGCTCTCTCTCTCTCTCTCTCTCTCTAAAGAGGTCCAAGGTTTTCAAGTTCCCTTTGAAGAGCTTGAATCGGTTAGCAAAATAGGTCGCAAGAAGAATCAAAATAAGGGGAAGAATCAAAATAAGGGAAAGGCGATTGACATAGACTTTCCAGTAAACCGCCCTGTGACTCAGTCCTACGCTCGTGTTCTTAACACCACATGAGTGAAAGATATAACCTATAGAAAAAGTGGGCTGATACAACCAATCTTGCTTGTACAACAGAAAGAGTTACCGGTTTACTTAAACGAGAATTTTTCAAATCGCCACCAAGAAATAGTATAAGAATCACGAAAGGCCATGCATTGGTAAATAAACAGAATGGAGTAAGAAATAACGGAGATATGTTAGAATTCTTGGATATTTTCTTTATTCCACAACTTGATATACCACACTTAAATCATTACAGCAAAAGCAAAGCTACTATCAGAAAAAGGTAAATACCACATTACACAGTAGTCAAATCGAGAATCGGAATTCATACTTTTCGAATCAAGAATCGAATCGAATTGCACTACTCAGTATAACTTTTCAAAATTAATTAAAATAATAAATATATATTTATGGGTATATCTCCATTAATTTTACCAAAAGATACTAAAAATTTCATTGCAAATAATGTATTTATATAAATTTCAATTTCAAATCATGTACTAACATAAAATGAAAGAGAACTTAATGACTTGTTCAGTTGCCAAGTTCAAAATATCAAACTATCAAGTTAAAAATTTTAAAATAAAAACAAAGCAAAACTATCAAGCCACTAAATTTTCTATCTAAATCCATATTCATTCATTGTCATTTCCAAATTTGAGCCTTTCATCATCTTCATCTTTTACTATAAGTATGTCCTCCTCTCTTCTTCCTCTACATCGACTTTTCAACTTCTTTTGTTGGGTGTGAGAATCATTGGACATGAGAATCGACTTGAACTATAAAATTTGAATAGCATAAATTTCCAATTCACCCTAAGATTCGAATCATTCAGCATGAATATTGAATCGAATCATACGATTTGAATCTTGAACGGTAAGGTTCTGATAACATGCCTCAGTGAATTAACTAGAAATCTAGAAGAATAATTTTGAACAAAAAAAAAAAAATAATTTGACCTAGAAAGCAATTCAGACATGCATAATAAAATAAATCCAGCATATGGAAAAGCACCATCAGAGAAAAACAACCAAAAGAAGAAGAAAAATGTTCAAGTAAACCAAACATCCAGTTGGCAGAGAGTAATAGGATGTGGCTTTTAGTAATCAACCAGGTTTTTCTAACATAAAGAAAAATACTTATAATCAAATAACAGATCACAAGAGCCATAATGATGCAGCTATTTTTATGCATCTGCATTCTGCAGGTATAAAGAGTGAAAAGCATAGTATCATTTAGTGTGGATCTCAAAATTTAGAGGTAAAAGTTCAAATCAACTTACATGTCATAGCTCTGAGCCTCAATAATAGTATGCTCCATGTCAAGCCGTGCAAGAAACGACGGCTTCGATGTGTATTTCGACAAATGCTGAGCAAGATTTATATGCCTCTGAAACAATTAAATAGATTTTTTTTTAAAAGAAAAAACTTCTAAAATTTTTAGAACTGCAGTGGCAGAGACCATAGCAGAAAGAGGGAGAGAGAGAAAGATTTACAGTCATTTCCGGCAATGAGTTGAGCTTTTTGACAAAATCCTTCAACTCAGAAACTGTCTGGTTCTGTATGCATTACATGGCAGCTGATTAGAGATTGTTCATGGAACCATGCAACCAATTCAAAAGCAAAGCATAAAAAATATGATAGGCATCAACAATAATAGTAACATATCTAAATTTGTAACTCATATTCGCTGCATTTATTAGGTTTTATTACACGCAGTCATAGACTGCATTCTTACTATAAAATAATAACCATGGGTATCATATTCTTTGACTTCTGTAGTTCTCTTATATAGCAAAGATAACAATAAACAAGTACTAGGGCTGTACACGGTTCCTGGGGAACCCGAACAGAACCAAACCAGAACCAACACAGTAAGAACTGAAATTTCGGTTCAGTTCCGGTTCCTTAGCCTCTTGGTTCTGATTCCAGTTCATTAAAATGAAATAACCGGAATCAGACTTGCACAGATGTAGCAAGTGCTAATACTAAATTAGTTATAGATATTTGATTAGCAGTGATTACACATGAAAGATGTGTACTGTGACTATTTAGATGCCAAAAAAAGCACTTACAGTAGTTGAGATCTCTGTGTAGTCCTGTTTCATAGAAGTTGCTTTTTGTCGTAGGACCTGCAATCATACTGCAGATGGCAACTAAGGAAACAAAACTCCAAGGAAATGAATAACCTTAGCTTTAGAAATAACAAAGTTTTGGAATTAAATCAAGTTGTGCTGGAATCAAACAAACTTCCAAATAAAATAAACAAAAGAATAGATCAACCTGGACAACAACTTCGAAGTTTAGATCCCGAATCTCCTTGAATAGCTTGTCACTGAAATTAAGCCATATGCATTGGATTAATATGCAAGACAGATAAATAAAAAAAAAAATGTGATGGAGAGGAAGAGAGGTGGTCAGACACCAGATGACTAAGTAAGAAATGTTTTAGTTGAGCTATCAGCAGCCATTTAGACAATTACCTTTTCCAGATAGTCAAGTAAACGAGTCTAAAAAAGAGGAAATTTGTTTTATTGTCAAAGAAAAAATAATAATTAGCAACATTATGCATTTGAAACACATTGCAAGCATTAATATTATCTAGCAGTCATAACCATTTGCTCAAAACCCGCAACATGCTGGATCCATTGGAGAGGAAAAGCAAATAAGGACAGGAATTTTGTTGTAATACAAATTTCAGCAAGATATTTCATTTTACCTTGAATTCAATGGAACTTTCATCTTTTTCCCCTCTTGTTGTTGAGCACCCATTATAGATGCATCGAGCTCCACTGAACCATTGTTAATATGCAAAAACTGCACCGAATTATCAATAATTGTTTACAGCTACTCTGATTAACTAGAAACAAGTATCATGATATTCATCCATTCAATGTGACTAGGGCTGCAAAAAAGCCGAGCCTAGCTCTGCTCAATAAGGATATGCTCGAGCTCAGCCCTTTTAAAAATAGCCAAGCTCAAACTCAGCTTGATACCCATAAACAGGCAGAGCTGAAACTCGAGCTCAAAATCTACCAAATCAAAACAACGTCATTTTAATTAACCTTAGCTTATTGAGCTAGCTTGCGAGCGAACTCGTGAGCACAGCTCAATAAAGCTGGCTCGCAAGCCAGCTCAATAAAGCTCGTTTATTAAACGAGCTTGATAGCTTGGTCAATAAGCTTATGAAGCCGAGCTTCTATCAAGCCAAGTTCTCAAGCAGCTGACAAACAGCTTGGATCATTTACAACCCTAAATGTGGCTATTATATTAACAATTAAATATTCAGCTTCCAAATGATTAGAAATCAAAAGTCCTCCAATGCTCATTCTGGACCATATTCAGTACTCTTTACCTCATCCAGAAGTCCTTCATATGTTAATTGAGAACACATGGGAGTAACCATGTCCACCTGCAGCCATGGGATCATAACTTTGTTTTATCAATTTGGGACAGGAATAGTAAATAACAAACAGTAAACATTTTAAAACTAAAAATACTTATACAATGACACCATAAATATGAAGCATAATAAAAGTAATATATCGAAACAAGAACCTAATAGCTGATTTCTACAGCAGATCACTATCAGAAAATTCAAATTAACAAGAGGATTTTTTAGCTTAATACTTTACTCAAATGCATACCTGATTAAGTTCTTAGGAAGAGAACTCAATCACATCAAATTGTTTGCTTTTGTTACAGAAGTGAGAAGTGTCATCTAATGCTACTTTTGGTTGACATGTCTCAAATGTTTATAGGGTCTAGAAGGCTAAAATTTTCAAATACGGTATAAAGTTCGCCTCTCTCTACACAAACATTTTCATAATCACACCCTCTAGTAGTGTATAGTAAGGCAAACTTCTTTCTCGTAATCTATATTTACAGCTACAGCCAGTCTTTAGGAGTAACATCCAAAATTGCACTCAAAGATTCCCACTACAAATATTAGTTATTTAACCTGATACTCTACATTTAAGATCTAATGGATGCCTCATTTTCCAGTTTACGAAAAAAACAACTTAAATGGCTCCTCTTGATCAGATAAACAACAAAGTTGCTGTTAATTATATAAAATAATAATGATCAGATAGATTGTTGTGTTGCAATTAATAATATAAAATTATAGTTCTTTCATGCATAAGCACAGACAATATTGTGAATACATACGAATGTACATGTGTGTGTTTTGAGCTGTGTTGCATCATCAAATACACCAAGGAACAATTTGTGGGACAATATACCTCCCTATCCAAAAGAATGAGTGTATTTATCTCTGGAACACCCATCTGAAGTAACAAAATAAGTAATCAGTAGTTGGCTGTAAAACATTTGCAAGTGGAAAAAGAAAGAGCCAATTAGTAAAGTTGGTTTGCTCAAACATATAGAGTGGTGCATAATCACATCAGAAGAGTTGACTGGTTCTTCTGTTTGCAAGCGACTCAGAATGTCAGCAACACGAACTGATGCCTTGCCTTTGGCCCTCAAATGTGGTATGACTCCAAAAGAAGACTGCAAATCACTACTTTCCCATAAATATAAAAGCATATAAACCATGATTAACCATATTTGTGGTATTTCATAATATTTTGTTTAAAAGAGAATGGATCCATGAAATCACACCCACCTCAAGCTTGTGAATGGCCTTAGCAATATGCCAAAGAGAGCTTGTACCACCATCAACTTGGCATTCCTGCATCAACAGGAACCAGGATAGTACAAAAGGGATAATAAGAAGGATGAAGGTGAAGGATAAGCAAAGAAACAAGATCCTAAAATAAACGTGAAATTATGCACTTCACAAAAATTGCAAATTCTGCCATACCTTGTTCGTGAAATCAAGTTCAAATGATAATATATCCTCATCCAAAGGAACCATGTACAATGGATATTCACCTATTGTCACCAACTGATGAACTTTTTCCTCCTCAAGGACCTACATAACCATAAATATTCATCACAACATGTAGAGGCTAGGAAGCACAAAAATCTCTCAAAGGCTAACGTTCTTGGGCCAAATACATTTCGGACAATAAATCACTTGCAAACATGTCAGAAACTATAAAAAGAGCTCCCTATTATTTTTATATTTTTTGTTATTTTGGAAATTTAGAAACTTTTGGGGCAACTTTAGAGGCTAATTTCAAATTTAAAAATTTATTAAGATCAAGTTTCAACCACTATAATATTAAAAGCAAACATACTAATAAAAATAGAATTAGAAATAAAACAAAAGAAAAGCTTAATTCTATTTGTCTAACAAATCTACAAAATAATTGAAAGAAAAACGTAAGGTAATAAATCCATCAAGCAAAACACAATATCTGGTTTCATTTTTTATCTGACACCAAATTCTTGGAATAAGAGATTGCAGTGTAACGTTGAAATCGTTATGTTGTTATAAATATAAAAATTGTAGTATTTTATTGGAATATTTCTCCTATCTCATGTCCTAATTTTTCAGAAAATGTCATGTCCAAGTGTTACTTCGTGTCATGTGGCAATTCCCATTTCTTTTGTCCATGCTGCTTGTCTAGACGATGAATGCATGTGCATTTTAGGACCATATAAAATCATATCTGAATGTGGTCATAGAAAAGCATACCTTCTCGCAAACAACCTCACGGCGAGGTACAAAATAAATATAATACTCCCTCTGAAGTCCTTTAGATGTATCATGATGAACTTGTAAGCATATGAATCTCATCAAATTAAACCTGGAACGAACAAGGTAGACCACTTTGGTACAATCAGTTTGAATTGGCTCTGCTGAAAGATGGCGCAGTTCCGCACCATGTTCCTGTTACAAAAGAAATAATTAAAGAAAAAAGTCCACAACACTCTTAAAAATCAGAACCACAATACAAGTTACTAGAACTAAATCATTATTACAAAGTTAAAGAAATTTACTTTAAGTAATGATGTCTGGATAATCAACGAAAGGGAGCCACTAAGCTTTGGGTCAATAACCAAGCACTTCTTTCCCCGAATCTATCATATTCCAATCGAACCAAAATCATCAAATGAAGTATATAATTCAGCAGCATAAATGAACTTCAGAAAAAGGAAGTAAAAGAAGAACACATTGTGTGATAACTGGCCAAATAAATCAGAATTTTGGATATTTTCCTACTTTCATGAATTTTCTCGGAAAACAAACAGAAACATCAAATCGCAATTGAATGATGAATGAACTTACATTCTTTAGGATGTTTACGAGCTCTCTTTGGGATTGTTCCCTGTAAATAGAAATGCATAGAACAGGATTACAAAAGTTAAGAAAGAAAAAAAAAAATGCAGTTCTGATCGAATGAGTCTGTTTACCTGAGGGATTTGAGATTAAGGGGAGAGTTGTCTAAATTTGGAATCTGAGCCATTGAATTTTCTTTAACTGCAAAATTGAAATCCTTTTTGAATTATGTTGATTTATCGCTCTTGCCTACTAGTGAGGTTGTAGTTCTTAGTTTTTAAAGAAAGACGGGAGAGACGGAACGAGGTGGATGAATATTGAGTTTTCCACTTTCGGGTTTGTCGAATTTTGTTTTTTCCAATTTTCTATTTTACAAATAGGGGCTTTTCAAATTATTAGTTTATTTATTATAAATTGTTATTACTCGTTTTTTTTTTAAGAATATTATTCGTTATTTATTTATTCATTAATTTATTTTTATATGATTATAAATTTTTCTCTCATATTATCTTGATTTTTTAATATTAATTTAATGTGTAATAATTTTTAACTAAAATTTATCTTTATTTAAATAATATTCATATTATAAGTAATAATATTATTTTTAAATTAGTTTTATTTGATAGGACGATATTAAAAGTTTAATAAAATAACAGTAAACGATAAAACGAAAAAAATTATTATTATTTATAAGATTAAACTTTAATTAACATCTAAGATTTTAGTAAAAAATATTTAATTAGAAACAAGGAACTATTTAATGAATTAGATTTTTATATGGTAATTTTTTTTTTTTTTTTTACAAAGGAGGGGGAGACCATGGAAAACAAAAGCAAAAAGTACTTAAACAATTCTAATTAGTCTTGGCCAAGCCATGCCATGGTGATCATTCTGCAGAAGAATAGTCACAGAAAGAGGAGGGACCTGGAAAACTTGTTTCTCAATAGCTGAAAAAACAACCGTATTGGCTAAATGATCAACAACTTGATTGGCCTCACATAGCAATGCCTCATGCGAACTTGCCATGCCCGATAAAGGAGAGTATGAAACTAATTGATCATATTGGAACAACCATAGATTGGACTACATGGTGTTTTTAGCAACCATAGAATCTCATTCAATATCAAACCTTGATACCCATGTCTAAGGCAAGATAGATACTATAAAGCAAAGCTTGAAGTTCAATTGTTGATTCTACCTTGAAACACTAACCAAAGAAAACACCGAATGCATTAAGGAACTGAAATTTTCCAAATGCACTTCCACACAGTAGTTAAAGAATTGATACAATGCCACTACAGGTGTACAAATGTTATGCTCATGGCCGTAAGAAGCAGCCACGTATGGAACCCACTAATGGTGCGTGGAAAAGAAGAACTAAAGGCTAACCAATTCAATTTATCTTTAGTTGTTGGTTGAATTTTTCCTTATGCATTTTTTTCAGTATTTCCGTATTGTAAGGAGGAGTCCTCCACTTTCATTTCTATTTCAGTTATTTCCTTTGTTTTAGGAGGGTGCGCCTCCATATTGGGTCATGATTCCATTGATGTAGTAATGGTTGTTACACAACTTGTATAAATATTTATAAATATAAACATCAATGAAGAGAAATCTCGAAAATCATTACAGTCTCGAGTACTTCAACTCAGAGGTATTAACGTTCCCTTAACTTGAGCCTTACATTCATTCAAAATAGGTTGTAAAAAGAATTCTACATCTTCACCCACGCAAACACCTTCCACTTCCTCTTCTGAGAGACCCATAACTCGATCGCAGATTTGGGATCGTAACAAATTGGCATCAGAGCCAGTAGTTATGGGCGAATTGGTTCAAGACCAGCTTACCAAACTCTTCAATTTACTCTTATCCGAGCAGTAGGCCGATCAGGCCCGTAATGAGAAGGTTAAGCAACTTTATGCCAAATTAGATGCCTTGCCTCTTGACTTGGAATCCACAAAAAAGGAGTTGACTTCTTCAAGTGCTGAAAGTCAAGCAAAAATAAGGAGAGATAAGGGAATTTCTGGTGCAACAGTTTCTGAAAATTCTGGAGGAAACTTCATTATACCAAAATTCACAAAATTTGACTTCCCTTGCTTCAATGGGCTGGAAGACCCCTTAGGTTGGACTAGCCGTTGTCAGCACTTGTTCCGGCATCAATCGACACCTGAGGACCAAAAGGTGAGCGTAGCCTCTTATCACTTAGAGGGAATTGCTCAACTATGGTATATGCAGATGGTGCAGGATAGTCCGGATCCCACTTGGACAGAGTTTATCCACCAATGCAACTTGCGGTTTGGACCTCCCATCCGAAGCAACAAATTGGGGGAGCTAGCCAAGCTTAAACAAACGGGTTCAATGGAGGAGTATCAGAACAAATTCGAAGTGTTGGTTTCAAGAGCTGGAATCTTAACTCAGAATCAGAAGATTCAGTTGTATCTCAGCGGATTGCAAGAGTCCATATCAGTTGAAGTGGAGCTCCACCAACCATAGTATCTGGTAACGACAATGAGCATGTCTCGCTTATATGAAAGAAAAATATATCCCAAGGTTACCACCAATCGAGACAACAAACGCAATTCACCAATTGTAGATTCTGGCACCAACCCTTTGATAAAAATAGAGAAGAAATGGAAGAAAGAAGGAAGAAGGGGTTGTGCTTCAATTGCGATGAAACATTTGTGCGAGGCCATCAGTGCAAGAAGTTGTTTTGGATTGACTTAGAAGAGAGGGACAAATCAACTGAAGAGTCGGAGCATGAACTGCCGCCGGAGATATCTCTCCATCCTATTACGGGAACGAGAAATATACAGTCCATGCGATTGAATGGTCGTTGGAAGGGAGGTCAGGTACTCGTTCTTATTGATTCTGGAAGCACTCACAGTTTTGTATCTGTTTCCAAAGTGGTAGAATTGAAGGCTGAGGTGAATGGGAAGGATGGGTTACTTGTCAATGTAGCTAATGGTGAGCAAATCAATAACCCAGGAATTTGCAAGGGGATGTCGATTGAATTGGGGTCAAATACTTTTATAGTGGACTTATTTATGCTGCAATTGACTGACTTCGACATTGTCTTGGGTGTTAACTGGTTGCGAACACTGGGTCCTATTTTATGGGACTTTATATCATGTGTATGTCTTTTTCCATACAGGGAAGACATGTGAAACTAAAAGGAATACATTCTAGACCATGGCAGAAGCATCATGAACTCAACTCCTTGCATCAAACCAATGACCCTGGCACGCAGCTTCAAAAATTGCTGATGGAAAATGCTGCTCTCTTTGATCAACCAACAGGGCTGCCTCCTAGCCGATCATATGACCACCGAATTCCCTTGGAGCCTGGAGCTAGACCCGTGGTGGTACAACCCTATAGATACCCCCACAGACAAAAGGATGAGATAGAACACCAATGTGCAGAGAACACCAATGTGCAGCCATGCTACAACAAGGGATCATCTGTCCCAGCCGTTCTCCCTTTTCTTCTCCGATAATTCTAGTTTCCAAAGCTAATAATTCATGGCGCTTATGTGTGGATCACAGGGAACTCAATGCAAAGACTATTAAAGACAAATTCCCCATACTAGTTACTGATGAACTACTTGAAGAATTGGGAGGAGCAAAGTTCTTCACAGAGTTAGATTTGCTATCCGAATATTATCAAGTTGCCATGTATCCTCCAAATATCGAGAAGACAACCTCTCGAAGTCACCATGGTCATTTCGAATTCTTGGTCATGCCATTTGGGCTCTCCAACACGCCATCCACTTTTCAAGCCTTGATGAATGAGATATTTAAAGATCAACTACGTAAATTCGTCTTGGTTTTTTTTTACAACATTCTCGTTTTCAGTCAAACATAGGCGGAGCATCTACATCATTTGCGCCAAGTGTTCCACATATTGCACAAAACCAGCTATTCCTGAAGCGCACCAAGTGCACCTTTGCACAAACTCAGGTTTCATACTTGGGTCACGTCATTTCATAGGAGAGGGTGCAAGTAAACCACACAAAAATTGTGTCAATTACAGACTGGCCAAGACCAAATACAATTAAGGGGCTGAGAGGATTTCTTGGTCTCATGGGCTATTACCGGAAATTCGTGCTTAACTATGGTACTATAGTCGCACCTCTCATTGCCATGCTAAGGAAGAATTCCTTTTAATGGACAAATGAAGCAATTCAAGCATTTGATAAACTAAAGTCAGCAATGACTAACACACCTATTTTAGTTCTTCCAAATTTTGAACTAATGTTTGTTATCGAGTGTGATGCTTCAGACATAGGAATTGGAGCTGTTCTACTACAAGAAAACAAACCTGTAGCATTCTTTAGCCGAGCAATGGCAGCACGACACAACAGTCTTCCAGCATACGAAAAGGAGTTAATTGGGCTAGTGAAGGCCATCAAACATTGGCATTCCTATCTATGGGGCAGGCAGTTTTTGGTACGAACAGACCATTATATGCCAAAATTCTTACTGGAGCAACGCACACTCTCATCACCTCAACAACATTGGGTGAGTAAGTTGATGCCCTTCGGCTTCACTATGGAATACAAGGCTGGTAAAAACAATACAGTGGCAGACGCGTTATCGCGCTGGGATGTAGACCAGAAGAGTCTTCTCGCCATTTCCATGCCTCATCTGGATTTATTTGATGAAATACGAAAAGAACAGCAACAATCTGAAGAAGTCCAATAGCTAATTTCAGCCTTAAACAATGACAATTCAACAGAACACTGGAGTCTAAAATAAGGGCTTCTTTTCTTCAAGGAGCGGGTCTACATTCCCAACGTTTCTTCGTCAATTTCATTGGTGATTAGTGCACTTCACAACCAAGGCCATGAAGGTTACCAAAAGACGCTACATCGAATAACAAGAGATTTTTTCTGGCATGGAATGAAGAAGATGGTGCAAGATTCATAAGACCTTGTGATGTTTGTCAATGCCACAAAACAGAGACACTGCAGCCTGCTGGTCTGTTACAGCCCTTGCCCATTCCACAGCAAATTTGGGCTGATATCTCATTTGATTTTATTGAAGGAATTCCCACTTCCAGAGGAAAAAAAATGTGATTTTGGTGGTGATTGATAGGTTCTCTAAGTACGGGCACTTTTTAGCTATATCCCATCCATATACAGCCGTAAGTATAGCTCGATCTTTTTTTGATAATATTTTCAAATTACATGGGCTATCTGAAACCATGGTCAGTGATCGAGACGTAACATTCACAAGTTCCTTTTGGAAGGAATTATTTCATTTGTGTAGAACTAAATTATGCTTCAGTTCAGCGTATCATCCACAATCGGATGGGCAAACGGAGGCACCAATCGAACAGTGGAGATGTATTTGCGGTGTTTCACAAGTACACAACCCAACAAATGGTGTGATTAGCTTTTATGGGCAGAATTCTGCTACAACACGAGCTACCATTCCTCACTCAAGACCACACCATTTGCAACCGTATATGGGAGACCACCACCAAGGCTATTATCTTATCTTCCTGGAAGTCCTACCATTGGGGCAGTGGATGTCATTCTCTAAAAAAGAGATTCCATGCTGCAAAACCTCAGAGACAACCTTCAGGAAGCTCAGAACAAAATGAAGGCTAAATATGATCAATTGCACCGACCATTAGAGTTCAATATCGGAGACAAAGTCCTACTGCGTCTTCAACCATATTGCTAATCTTCATTAGCCTCAAGGAAAAATCAGAAACTTGCCGCAAAATTCTTTGGACCTTTTGAGGTATTAGAGCGAATTGGTTCTATGGCATATAAGTTGAACTTACCAGCTGAAGCAAAATTACATTTAGTTTTCCATGTCTCCACACTCAAACCATACCATGAAGGCAATGTCAATTATGAACTAGAGCTTCCTCCAATTCCAGCTCATGACCCTCCTCAACCACTTGCTATTTTGGACCATCGTTTTAAGGTTGGACAGTCAGAAGTTTTGATACACTGGAGCCACACTTCACCAACTGATGCTTCTTGGGAAAATGCTCAAGATATGATCAAACGATATCCACAATTCAAACTCGAGGACAAGCTTTCTTTGGGGTCCGGAAGTATTGATACAATGCCACTACAAATGTACACAAGTTACACTCATGGCCGTAAGAAGCAGCCACGTATGGAACCCACTGATGGTGACGTGGAAAAGAAGAACTAAAGGCTGACCAATTCAATTTATCTTTAGTTGTTGGTTGAATTTTTCCTTAAGCATTTTTTTTCAATATTTCCGTATTGTAAGGAGGAGTCCTCCACTTTCATTTCTATTTCAGTTATTTCCTTTGTTTTAGGAGGGTGCACCTCCATGTTGGGTCATGATTCCATTGATGTAGCAATGGTTGTTACACAACTTGTATTCATAAACATCAATGAAGAGAAATCTCGAAAATCATTACAGTCTTGAGTACTTCAACTCAGAGGTATTAAGGTTCCCTCAACTTGAGCCTTACATTCATTCAAAATAAGTCGTAAAAAGAATTCTACATCTTCACCCACGCAAACACCTTCCACTTCCACTTACGAGAGACCCATAACTCGATCGCAGATTCGGGACTGTATCAAATTCAAAATTGGTACCTTAGCAATAGAGTATGATGATTTAACATTAAAAGTGTCGGTAGAAATGCTTCTCTAAGTTAGCATATTCATAGCCTCGCCAAAAGAGAGATGGGTTCCAAAAGCATACAATAATCATCAGGAAGCCAAGGCTTTATTAGATCCCACTTTCCAACCCTCTGGACCCTAGAAAAAGGAAACTGACGTTGTCTCCAAATAAATGGTAGTTGTCTACATAACACAATTTCACATTGGTTGTGAGTATGTGTGAGTAAACTATCGGTTTCGCTTAACCAATGTGAGAAAGTAAACCTCTTGTATCAACTAAATGCTCCATATAAAAATGAAGTTCATCATCTAATGATTTATTTTCAAAATGTCATGTGTAGTATCCTAATCTTAAACAATAACCAAACCATTTGATAATGATTTCACAATCTTGTATATCATATTGTAATTAGCATTTTCAATATCATTGATATTGAAATCTTCTATCTCACCACCTTCATATTGAAGACTTTCATTCTGCCAAAAGAATTGCGTTGAAAGCTCAAAAAAGCTGCTTTTAGTACCCATTAATGGACCTTGTATCCACGTTAACACAAGTGACTATTTTGTCCAATAAAAAGGAGATAAAAATAGCCGATCAGGTGCGGTTTGATTAGTTTTCTCACTTAAATAGGGAGTCAAAGGTTTTGAGTTTGAGTTCTCTTGACTACAAGTGTTTTTACCAATTTGACGAGTCCAAGTCTAAGGTTTTAAGTTTGAGTCCTCTCGGGCTACCTCGTAGCCCGCAGTCTAGTATAAACATGAATATTTTTACTTTTTAAAGTCTTAGCTTCATGTTTCAATGATTGTAATTCCTAATAAACTTATTAATGGGGAATGGTGGGAAAAGACAAATCAAAACCCTCTCTTGTAAGAGGCAGAGCCACATAACATCAAACATGCAAATACAACTATCATGCAACAAATTTAGGTCCTGCACAAATTCAATTTGAGAACATTAATGTCTTTGAAAATTTCAGAAGAGATAGATTGTGATCACTTTCTATTATAATTGAATTGACTTTGTAAATTTCTCTAGGTGATTTATTTTAGGTAACTAGTTACCTAATTTTTTAGAGAGAGAGTTTGCTAACTTTTCCTCCCAAAATAACTTATGTAGCTATTCCTTCAAGAAAAAAAAAAAACTTATGTTGCTATGGAAAATTATATCGTTTAGGGTTATTGATTTTTGTTAGGGTCACTCACTTTTAGACATGTTTGAACGCAACGCAGACGACCAAGCTAAAGGATTAGCTTCTTCTTTTTTTTTTTTTTGGTAAATAAAAGAGAAATACAGAGACTAACTAGAACTTAGCCTAGAGAAAGTAACTCCCCTAACATCTTGCTCTAAGATAGAACAGATGCCAATAGGAGCATCTTCAAAGATGTGAGTGCCTAACTCCAAAGATGATGAGAAAGTAGCCATCCAGTCAGCTGCAAAATTTGCTTCGCTGTAAATGTAAGTGATTTGATAGGAACCTTGAGACTGCAAACAAGCCTTTATGCGCTTGACAATAGCTAACACAGACCTAGGAGGCCAAACAACTCCATTCAAAATATGGACAACAACCAAATTATCACTTTCAACCTGTAAATTAGAGATTCCTGTATTAACAGCAAGTTGAATCCCAATAAAGATTGCCCATAGCTCCGCCCCTAACACTGAAGTTTTTACCAATATTCAAACCAAAGCCCACAACCCAATTTCCCACATAGTCTCGGAACAAACCTCCACCAAAAGCATTGCTTTAAAAAAAATCAAAAATCTCAATTTTTATGTTTTATCCATGTTATTGTTGATTATGGAGGATTCAAATATGAATATATTTAAATTAAAAGATATATTATAATTATAATGCTTATATATTAGAAATTGTCTAATTTTCTTAATATTATTTATTTTTAAATGCAAAATTATCGATTGCGAATAGTTTTTTTTTTTCTCACTTTTGTATTTGTACCATTAACAACAAGCAAAAATATTATTTTAACAGCCTATTTTGGGCTCTTAAATTATTATTATATTTATTTCCATTGGATACTTTTGATTTACTTTTCTCATTAAAGAGATTTTTTTTTGAATCTCATTAAAGAGATTTTTAATGGTTAAAATTTTAAAAATTTATGAAATTAGATTTAAGCCAAAATAAAACACAAAATTATATTAATAAAATAAATTTTAAGGAAAAAGAAAATGCAAGACCTGCAATGCAATGCGAGTAATTTTGGTTGCAGTTGTAGAGGACCAAACAAGAAAATTTCCCCCTTGGGTGCTTGTCATTGTTGTTGTCATGGATAACAAAACGGAAAGCCTAATAAGGAAAGCCCATTTGCTATTTCTAACCCAAAGCCCAACCCAATTCTTCATCCATTTCCTGCTATCTTCTTCTCCATAACCCGTAAGGATTAACTCCGACAAAAACAAAAATGGCATCAGTCGTTGCACTCTCATCTCTCCAAATCCAAAACCTCATCTTCTCAAAACCTTCATTTTCTCTTCTCAAACCTCTCCGTACAGTCCCTCGCATATCTTGTTCTATCTCCTCTTCCTCTTCTTCTCTAGAATTCAACATTTCTTTCGCCCCTCCAAAACCCAAACCGAAACCACCGCCCCATATAGACTTTCCCAACCAAAACGACGAAGTTCTATCCGACGCTTTTGGTGCCACTGGTCAAATCTACATTCCCTGGATTGTCCGCGGCGATGATGGCAATCTTAAACTCCAGTCTCACCCCCCAAAGCGTCTCATCCATGCTCTCGCCGATGCTAAAACACAAAATGCTAAGAAGAAAAAGAAAAGTAAGGAGAATGTGAAGAAGGAGCTTGCTGCCAATGGAAATTCCAACGCTCCGGCAGATCGGAATCTTTCCAAAGCTGCTCGGAGATTTTACAATGAGAATTTCAGGGAGCCACCGCAGCGTCTTAGTAAGGTTCTTGCTGCAGCTGGAGGTAATTTGCATTGAAATGCTGACATGCATGCCTTAACACTTAATATTTTATGGAATTGTTGACTTTTTTGTCTTAAAATTTTAATCAGTGGCATCAAGAAGGAATAGCGAAGAGTTAATTTTTGAAGGCAAAGTGACTGTTAACGGTTCTGTTTGCAATACTCCTCAAGTGAGCTGATAGTTTCCGATAATAATATGTCTCTTTCTTGAAGCAATGGTTCTTTTGTTGCTCTGTTGTGAATATTATTATTTATTACTTGTCATGATATTCAGACTCGAGTTGATCCTGCTAGGGATATCATTTATGTCGATGGAAATCGACTTCCTAAGAAATTGCCTCCAAAAGTGTATTTTGCTCTTAACAAGCCAAAAGGGTGAGTAGCAATATCTTCGGCGTTGCTTAATTTCTGTGGGTCTTCTGTGATTGTAGTTCAGAATTAATGTAATCTGATTAAGACAGGTACATTTGTTCCTCTGGGGAGAAAGAATCTAAGTCTGTGATCAGCCTGTTTGATGACTATTTCAAGGGTTGGGTAGGTGCGGCTTGCAAGTTTTTATATCAGTGCTTATTTTGGTATTTTTTTGTGGAAATTAAAATAAGAGAAATTAGATTATTGGATTTGAATGTTTGCATTTTCAACATGTGTTTTATTTTTATTTGTTTGTTTTTTTGTTTAACTCAGGAAAGAAGAAATTCAGGATTGCCTAAACCTCGACTTTTTACTGTTGGTCGCCTTGATGTTGCCACATCTGGATTGATTATTGTGACCAATGATGGTCTGTACATTGATGTCTCTGCAGCTTCATATCTGAATTTCTAAATGGAACGAAAATGGGCTAACTTGTAGTGACTCAAAATGCTTTTATATGCAGGAGATTTTGCTCAAGCACTTGCACATCCTTCATTTAAACTATCGAAGGAGTAAGAATTCATGTGCTTTCTCATTCTTCTTGCCAACTAATGGTCATTAGATTAAACTGTCAAAATAAAGATGGTTCCATGTTTATTATTGTGTCTTAAAGGTGTCTGAAACATTAATAGAGTCATTACATATGATTTATTAGAATATGGTCTAGAAGTTGGAATTGTCATGAATTCAAGGAAATTACATGATTTCCAATTGTAGATACATTGCAACAGTAGAGGGTGAGGTAAACAAACGGCATTTGATAACCATCAGCGAAGGAACAATTGTTGAGGGTGTACACTGCACTCCAGATTCTGTGGAGTTACTACCACGGCAGCCCGATATTTCAAGACGTCGTCTTCGTATAGTGGTACTTGTTTTCTGTTTCAGATACAGCACTCTTTTATTACTTCATACTTTCACGAATCATTGTGGTGGAATTGTCTTTGCAAGAAATTAGTTGTTTCTCATTCATATTGGAGCTTTGCTTTTGAAAGTTGGCATCTTGATTGTTTCTAAAAATAGAGTTCAACTGGGTCAAAATCCCAACTAAATTTCATGGAGTTTATGAATAATAAGTTATTGGAGTTGCTCTTGAATTGGATCAGATTTGGCTAATTGTGAAGTGGTCTTTTAGACAATGGTAATGATTGAATTAGCAAGCATGCTTTCAACTGTGATAGAAAATCAATTAGTCTTACTTGATGACCTTTGTCTTGAAGTTTACAAAGAAAACAAGGTTTGTTCTAATGATTAACATCAAAGAAAGTTACATGTCTAATAAAAGTAGTGCAATAGCAATAAATAATTAAAAAAATGGGTTAATTATATTTCTGGTGTCTGAACTTTTTCAATATTTTCTACCTTGATATCTGAATAGAAAAAATTTGCAATTAAGTTTTGAATTAATTGTTTTTGTGCAAGTAATTGTATTTTGTTGGAATTTGTCACCGGAAAATCAAATTGAACTATTTTATCTAATTCCTTTACTTTATTTATTTGCCTAGATTATTACCTTTCTTTCTTTTTTCTTTTTCTCTCTTTCTTTTATATTGTTTTGGAATTGAAAGAAAATTAAAATAATTTTTTGAAACTTTTTTTTTTTAAAAAAAAAAAGAGATATAAGACAATAAAAAGTTGAAAAAAAAGAAAAAAAAAAAAAAAAAAAAAAAAAGAAAAAAAAAAAAAAAAAAAAAAAAAAAGAAGATATGAATGGAGTATGTCTTTATGTTTGATGTCATATATTCAGTAAATGATGCATTTTAATTTTCCAGCAAAATAATCCAGCCAAATGCACTTAATTGTCACTTTTTTTAATAGTGCAACTATTCAATTGCAAAATTTTTTGGTTTAGATACCAAAATAGAAAAAATCAAAAAGTTTAGGCACCACAAAATGTAATTAACCCTTTAAAGCATACATTGTCTTTCCAAATTTTGATTTGGACCAATTCTGAGACATTATGCTCGCTGGGAAGGAATCTAATGGTTTTCCTGAATTTTTTAATTTTTGCATGTTCTTTACACAACTTAAATTGCACTGTATTATATGTTAGTTAATGTAATGAAAAGCTATAATAGAATCAGGATGGGCCTTAGTTCGAAGGCACATGATCAATATGTTCTATGATACAGTTCTATTAGAATTTTTTTTGTGTGTGTTTGGAAACTAAATCGAGGAACAATTTATGGATGATGTATGTATCATTGTAAGATACTTATTTGTTTGCGCAGAACAATTGGCCTTGCTCTTAGTTTTTCCTTATATCTTCCATGTCTTATATGGTGGTCATGGAGGTTCCTTTATCCAGATGATTAATGATATTATCAAAGCATTTATTGAACAAATTTTCTCTTTAATTTATATAATGTGCTCTTTTGTCTTCTTGGACTTGAACCTTTGTTGTGTCAAAGTTCTGTTTCCTCATTCTAGCTGATTAAGACACAGAAGTGATTAGGATTATTTTATTTACTTGAACCAATCGTGCAGGTTCATGAAGGGAGGAATCATGAAGTTCGAGAACTAGTTAAGAATGCTGGACTAGAGGTCTGTTTGCTTTTTTTATAAAGCCAGTTTCAGATATCAAAAAATTTGTTCTGCTCTTATTTTTAAGTATCACATTTGTAATGTCAATTGAACATATCTTCAGAGAGGAATAGTTTCTGCACAATAGTATCATAATCTCTTACATCAAACTGCTTTTGAGATGAGAAACTTTTAAATGCTTTCATGGGCACATTTGTTCTTGGAATATTATTCATATTTGCCCCATTCCCTCTTCTAGCGCCCCTCCCCCCCCCCCCCCCCCCCTCTTTTTCCAAAATGGAACCTTAAGTGTCCGTTAGGCACATCGAAATTGATAGCATATTGCTAGTATAACTGAGTATCCGGAATTGAATATGTACTATTGAATCTGAACATTGATAAAACATGGACAAAATTAATAATTCAAGTGGCCTGGCTTATTATTTATTAGGCACTATGAGCCACTCCATATTTATTTTCTATCCTTCAGTTTTAATGCTAATTCATGTTTACATCAACTATGACTGTTATCTTTTCAGGTTTATTCATTGAAGCGTGTGCGAATTGGTGGTTATAGACTTCCATCAGATCTTGGGTAACTCTCTGATATTTCTGTTTATAAGACCATTATTATGGATTTTGTTTGTGTGGGTGTATGCCAGGCAAAGAGCGAGGAAAGAGAGACTTTTCCCCCTCAATAAAAATGCTCATTCACAATAAAAACATATAAAAGAAAGAAAGAAAGAAAGAGAGACAAGAGGGAGAGAAGAGGTTCCTTAATTAATGAATTAAATGATGAATTTGTGCAACTACTGTTGACCAACTACTGTTGACTGGCCTGCCCCTGCTTGACAATCCACTACCATCCTCTCCAAGGCCCATACTTTTTATCCCAAACCCAGATATTTTTACTAGGGGTGCAATGAACCGAGCCGAGCTCAAACCTGCCAAGCTCGAAGCTCAACTCGATAGAATTTAGCTCGGCTCAAAACTCGACAAGTCTAAAAACTTTAGGCTTAAGTTCAACTTGAAAAATTTTGAGCTCGAGGCATGAGTAAGCCTAAAATAAATGTTCTACGAATATATATATATATGTATATATATAAGCTCGATAAGGCTTGACAAGCTTTTAAGCTGAATATCATTAGGCTCAAGCTCAGCTCATTTGTTAAGCAAGCTGGTTCGAGCTGAACTTTTCTAAACTTTTTTTTAAGTCAAGCTCGAACAGTTTGTGAGCCGGCTCGGCTGATTTGCACCCCTAATTAAAGTATTCTGTATATTGATGTCTCTCTTTGGTCTCAGCAGCTGTAGTGATATACTGACCTTAGGAGAGTTGAGGGAGCATGTATTAGAATATCATTGCTATTTGGTTGACGAAGCTCTATTGCTATCTAAATTTCTACCAGGATTATGGAATTGCAATCAACCATATCTTATATAATTATAATTCTATTGATCTCAGGATTGGGAAGCATGTTGAACTAAAAAAAAATGACCTGAAGACAATGGGTTGGAAGGGTTGAAATTAGTTGCTGCCTGGTTGCTAGAATAGAAGCTCTTTCTCGCTGACAGCAAGTTCAATCTGCTACTCAACTTTATGACCAAGAATTGTTAAGTCACATGCCCCCTGTTGCATGAAGGTGACAATTCATTATTTTGTGGGTTAAGCTGCCTTCCCATTACACAGCATGTCACACGGCCAGTAAAACTAGGCAAGCTGTAGCTAGAGGCCAAAACACTTAGGCAGTTGTTAATGATGCAAATATGTTGGTTTAACCTTCAAATTTTTTTATTCTGAGTATCTACGTGCACAATGGAAATGCAAATGCAAACATCGCCATATTGGTGATTAATTCATAGACTCAAAAAGTTGAGAGAACCGAAGTTAAATTGAGGATTCACAAATGCTGTTGTAATGACACTCATCACTGAGAATATATACATGTATATAGGCATTTATATACTTTTTGGGGTGTCAATCATGTAGTGCAGCTTAAACCTTCCCGGTCCCCTTCCCCTCCATTGGCAGATAGAGAGGGAGCCAAGGTGGTCATGCTCTCTTTAAGCTCTACTCTAAATTATGCCTCTTAATTTACTCGAACTTTCAATTTTGACCCCTCCATAATTTTTTAACTGTCCTCCCCCACCATGAATTACTGATAATACAAAGCTCTCTCTATTCATTTTTCACTGGCTCCTTTCAGAATTAGTTGCATCTGTATGCGGTGCAAGTAATTCCCATTTTTGGATTGTCGACTATGACCGTATTCAACATCTATTTAACTAGCTTTTAGCATTTTGATTGAATTAGAATTTGAATTAGTTTTTAAATGTTAAAGTAGCTTCTCGTAAAAAGTTAACTAATATAATATTTAATTTTTAACATTTTATGAAAATCTATTTAAACAATTAATAATTAAATGCTATTAAAACAAGCTATCAAAATATCTAATTTTACCGAATATATTCTATAATTTTAGATTAACAGGCTATTAAAATAGTTAATCTTGCAGAATATACTTTATGATTTTGGATTAAGAAACAGAGACAAGGTGACACCCTGGCATATCACCTAGGAGACTGACACTTTATGATTTTGGATTAAGAAACAGAGAAGACAAGGTGACACCCTCGCATATCACCTAGGAGACTGACAAGGACTTGTTTATTGAATGAGATCTCTCCTAGTCCCAGTCCTCGACTTGCATGTGCCACAGGAGCTGTACTGTGGGACTCCATTCACATGCTCTGCTGAGAGAATTTTTGGTTAGATTGCACTTGTTATTCTTTGGCTGGATTCACACTCATTTATAACTTCCTGTTCTTTGAGGTCTATCTCACGTTGTATTACCGGCCACCGAGGGAAGGAGACATATATTATACTCAAATTAAAATTTTGTAAAAATAATAAACCAGAATAATAGAATTTGCAAGGTTTTTCGGACTAAAATTAACCCTTCTGGAATATGAGAGTGGAAGAAAATTAAGGGAAGGGAGTTTTTTTTCCCTCATTTTATACTAGTTGGAGCTTCGCAATGCATGGTCCTAATTTTAAATTATTTTATATTTTTATTTATTAATATTATTAGATTTCGATTAATATTGGTAAATTTTATTTGAGACATGTTTATTTAACAAAAATATGTTTAAATATATATTGTTTATCTAATGAAAACTCAATGCTAAAAATGCTATAATATTAAAAAGAAGTGTCTCTCGTTCATTTTTCAATGTGATAAAGGCGATATTGGAGACGTGAAAAATTAATTTAGATTATATTTAAATATGCATTTAAATAATTAAATGTGACAAAGGTTTTCTCTTGAAAAAATTAAGAAAGCTTAATCACCTTTCAATCTATTTCATATTTAGATTAAAATTTTGTTTTTAGATAGCGTCATCCTAAATAAGTTTCAGAGTCTTATTTAATTATTTTAAACTTTTTATAATTAGAATGCATGAAAATAAATGTGATGGAGTCTCATTAATATTTTTCAATAACATTTTTTTATCAATAATAATATTAAATGAACACTCTATTGGTAAGTGTATATACAATCTGACAATTAATCTAGGTTTGACTCTCCTCTTTAATTAAAAAAAAAAATTCTAAATATATATATATATAGTCAAACAAGTGACAACCACAATTTCTCTTTAAGTAAATGGCACAACACGATCCTATAAATTTTCTATAATGTCCTCTTAAATCCAAATAAATTTATTTTCTATAATGCCCTTTTATATTTATTACTTTACTTTTTTTTAAATGGAGAAAAGAGAAAGTATAGATTTTTTTTTTTTTCTCTCTAAACCAAAGTCCAAGCATGCAACTCTGGATTTGCATTGGCTCACTACCTCCTTTGAATTTGGCCTATAATCTAAAATGAAATCCGATTTGGATACAAAAACGAACATCATTTGTATCTTCATCTTAGATATTACTAAATTCGTTAACGACGTCTCTCTTTTATCCTTACTTTGATCCACCAATTCTCTTGATTAACTAGAATCATCAATGAATAATAGAGAGATTCATCGAACGATTAGGAATTAAAAGAAACGAACAAGTTGTTTTTATAAATCTGCTAGATGGAGGATTTTTGGTTTGAGAAAAGAAAGAGAATGAGAGAGGAAGAGTTGGGTTCAAAGTGAGAGAAAGAAAAAGCTATTAATGGAGTAAATTAATTTGAGATAAAGTACACATTTTTTTTTTTCACTATCCTCACTTTTACCTTATGCAATCATACATAAACATTCTACCCATCTTGTGCCTAACACAAGTTGAGCCAAACAAATGTATCCTCTTTCTTTAGGGAGCCATATTAAAATGCATATGTGTCTAAGTAAAAGAACTTAACTAGCAAGCTACCACAAAATCCAAGGAATAAATATCAATTTGGCCCTAAACTTGTTTAGCGGATCAAAAAAGTCAAATTTAACCTCTAAACTTATCTAAAATGATTAAAAATATCAAATTTGACTTTTTAGGTTAATTTAGCTCCTAAAATTGTTTTAAAATTTTTATAAATTAATGAATTGATTCAATTTAATAGGGTTGATTCGGATTGACTTTTATCCCTTTTTGTTATTTATTAAAAACACGCATATTAAATTTTTTCAACACTTCTGCATAGAAATTTAAAATCCATAAAAGCAGCATTTCTTTAAACACAATAAATTTATAAAACATGTAATATAACTTTAATTCATTTAATATGAGAAATACATGAATTTTATATGCAATAACCCAGTAATAAAGGTTAATTTAACATCCATGATTAAAGATCGATTTATTGAAGTATCTAGAACAAATAGAAATTATTACTCACATATTAACTTTATTAATAATAATCATTATATTTAAGAACCACTTGTTTTAACTCCGGAAGATTATATGTCCTGTAATTTTTGTCTATTTTTTTTTATTCATCCCAAATTGTTGTCCCGTTTACCCTTCTAGAAGTAAAATATTTAAAATTTACTATTTTATCTTTATTTAATATGTTTATTGGTCAATAGATATAATAATTAAATATACATTATCATTAATTAAATCTTGATATAAATAAAGTTAAAATATCAATATTTAATCTTTTAATAATTCTATTTAATAAAATATTTAATTAATTTCAAGAATAATTTAATATGAATAATTTAGTAATTTTTACTATTTATTGGAACTTAAAGTGAAAAGAAAAAAAGGTTTGGAGATGTTTGTGGTTGCATGAAATGAAGTTAAGATTTGTTGAATGTGATGAAGGAATTTAGGAAATTGGGAAAAAAGTGGGATCCATTTTGGTATAGTTAGGGGACACTTCTTTTTCAATGCCGTCCAAATCAATAGAAACAAAAAGAGACAGACAAGATTCCTCAACTATCGCCTTGACAGATTCCAACTCATCATTCTTTCTTTCTTTCTTAAGGAAGGTACGTTTAATTTGACTTGTCAACTTTTACTTAATTTTCAATTTAAGTTTAAAATTTAATAAATTAATTAAACTTTTTTACGAACTTCAAATTAAATTAATTTGATTTGGGAAAAAAAAATTTATTGTCACTTAATTATGTATACCTTTTAAAAAAACAGAATAATTATATGTTTTTCAATTTGATACCTTTGAATAATGTGACAAATCAAAAAAATGATTCTGTAAGATCCAATTTTTATTACGTGGCAATTTTTATTACCATATAAATCATTGTTATAACCTCCATTTAATGCTTTTTAACAACCTCCTTCTCTAAGAATATAATTATTCTTACTTCCCATTGAAGAGAATCTAAGAATCAAAACTGTCAATTCTATTTCGCTTTCAAAAGCTTGATAGGAGTTGTCTAACTTAATTACACACTTTTAATCTGCATTACACATTTTTGCAAAACAATTTCTAAATTAATGAAACAATCCATTTATTTTTTTAATATAATACATTAAAATTTCATTAATCACTTAAAATTAATATAAATAATATAAAGAGGACAAAACTCTTGCCTAAAAATTAACCAAAATTTCATAACTAAAATAGCCAACAGAGAGTTAACTAACAAGGTCAGGTATTGACTGTGGTGATAAGCGACTTCAATTGCTATAAAAGTGAGAACACAAGAAAGATCCCGTATTTATTGGAAGAATAAAATTTTTTTTTGTTCTACGACTCAAAAGGAACTTAAATCTCCTAGTTATAGATATATATATATATATAATCACAATAGAATTCATTAATCTATATATATAAAAGAGAGCAGTTTGTATTATATGAAAGCCAAGTGTAAACATCTGAAATTGTCAAATATGAGGAGGATAACAATTATTTAGCACGGTTATAAGAAGATAAGGTGTAAGAATAGCAATTGTAAAAAGATAAGTTATTTTATATTTTTAGATAATGTTTTTATCATTTTTATCAATGATAACATCTATTAGTAAATCCAATCAAGATAATACATTATACATTAAATTAAATTAAAATTTAATTAAAATACAAATAATCCAAGTAATAAAATAAGAAATACTTAATTTCTTATTTTAATGATTACCTTAGTGTATGGGTAGTCTTATATATCAGGAGATAGGTTGCACGGACATGAGATACGAGATACAGAATGTATGGGATACGATAATTTTTTAAAAAGTAGGACATTTACTCGCTTAAAATACATTACACTAAATAAAAAATACTTTAATATTTCAAATAAATAAACAATCATTTATAATAAACATAAAATAAAAAAACAATAAATTTCTTATTTCAATCCCACAAAAACAAATTAAATAAAACACTTCATTTTTATTAGTAATAAAAAAACATCATAGTTGATTAACTTAGTATATGGAGTAGTCTCATATACCAAGAGTAGTCTCATATACCAAGACCTAGTTGTATAAACACATGACACAAGAGATAAGAATGTACGAGTTATGATAATTTTAAAAAATGTAGGACATCCACACACTTAGGACACAATACACTAAATA